ACAGCGATAAGCGACATAAACAGTTTTGACGAGAGTGTACAAAATGGTCCAGAATGACGGATTTCATTGGCGTGGCTGTGCTCAAAAATCAATTATAAATATTTCAGAATTTGCGGAAGCTTGTTAATTAAGAATAAAGTGAAAAATATGACAGTTTAGAAAATTTACTTCATTAAAAGTTTCCCAATTTTCTGCTATGGCGACGCAAAGTAACTCGCGGTGGGAAACATTCCGCTCAACGGAGCATCGCTACAACTTGGTTTGTAGTTGGCTGTACACGTCTTATCTGTAGAGAATCATAACTTAGAAATTCTCAATACATCTCGAATGCGATGGCAAACGTGAAAGATTCCCATCGGTGAATCTCTTTCGTCAGATAGACGATAATTAGTTTCCATCCTTCACACCAAATATACAATATTCCAAGCCATACTTCATGACAAGCACTTCAGTATGTCGCCAACAGGGAACTTTCTCAGGCGAACAGATTTTCAGATGAGTAAAGTGAGATTGAACATGATTTCTGGTTTGTGATTTGAAAACTAAAAAGACATTAGAAGTTTTCCTCAGACTTCCAGCCAATTTCAAACGTGTTATTCGTGCGTGAGAAATTGGAACGATTAATTTGGATTTAGAATAATTTTCATCACGACACGATTTATTTGATATGTTATGGAATGGTTGAATTTACATATCAAACATACATATTGAACACAAAAAAGATATTTTTTTTAATAAATTGAAATAAAATAAATTATGCATTATATGCCCAAAAGCAGTATGCTCTTTTTATGTTTTTTTGTTTATTGACTGGGAATTATAGAAAATAAAAATAATTGCGATAACTGAAATAAAATATTCAGGAAAAAAACTACTAGACTTTATATAATTGATTTTGTGAATCTCCAAAACGTATGCAGAATGTTTACAACATTGTTTATTTAGACTTGGACATGAAATACATAATTCATACATTCAAAACACATGCTAATTTCAGAACAAAGTTCAGAATATCGAGAGGAGTTCTAAAAATTTGATACAGTGTGCTACTTGGGTATGAAAAACAGCACTTGCAGCCTGAACTTTTCCAGTAGAGGATTTGAACATAAGCTTAAGGAAATCCCTTTACTCTTCACTGAAAGCGCTTGTCAGCGCCAAAATGGAAAAACTGTTTATTTAGCCTCTGTGGAATATTTTAACATTATACAAAACTGTGTAATATTTACATTCTCCTTGGGATATTTGCGAATTTTCTGCGGCACATGCATGGAGACTTCATCGTAATTTAAGGGTGTTTGTCGTATTTTTGTGTATAAATTCAAATGTGTGCTTTTGAAGCTCATTATATGCAAATAAACATGTAAACAAACATCCCGCACTGAAAAATCCCACAATGCTGTAAGCTTTTTGTCACTGTCCGTCTCAGCGTGTGTCGGTCTGTCGGAAAAAGCACACTGCGGCCTAGATGGGTGGCTGCCCCCTCTTCCGGGGCGTGGAACTGTCATGAGAGTCAAAAAATAAACAAATATGCCCAATATCGATAGTAAACAGGCAGGAAAGGGGAGTGTGTTGGCTATGGCGTGAAGGCAAACAGGGACTTTTTTGCAGGCGGATTATCGCATTTGAGCAGTAAAAAATCAGCACATAGATATAATAATAATAATAAACAGCTGCCAGTGGTTTTTTCAATTAATTGTGCGAATTCAATAATGATCTCCTGGCATATCGCGCCATCAGCAGCGCATCTGAGCTCTCAGGCGCGAATGGACGACATACATAGTTTGCGCGCGTTTGCGATGGATGAAAAACCACGAAAAACAATCAGGGTTTGTTGATCGTATCCCATTTCGAGGCTGGTCTGATGTGCCATTGGGAATAAATTAAAGAGGATGAATCATATGATGCTGCTCATGCCCTAGAGCAGCCGCCAACTCTCGAGGGTTTACTTTTCGGCCCTCTAATTAGATTGGAAATTTCCATTTGCGCTACTCGGCAGCACTGTTGCATGCTAGTGCGGCCAACCGCCGCGGGGTTAATGCACAAGGACCATCGATATAATATGCAACTTTCTGGTGGCATCCATGAATGCTTTCCTAATACACTCACCTAATGAATTCGCGCTAAACACCAATTTAATTCAGATGGAGATTTAAGCTCTTTTGCTGAGCAGGGGAAATTAATTGGTGCACAGCTCTGATTAAAGTGATTGACTGTAATGGTTGAAAATTAGTTGAGTAATTTCGGATAATAATGGGAATTTAACAAGGAATTTGAGCATTTACTAACTTTTCCGTCTGTCTACGATTTGGCACTAACACCGGCAATATTTAATTCTTTGTGAAATTTTCCTTAAGACTTTGAAATTTTGTATATTAACTTTAATTTTGGGAAAAATAAAAAATTGTTATGCATTTATTTTTGAATACGCGAATGCAGACATAACGGTCCAATGATCCCGTGGCACATGCAATGGCAATAAAAATTTTCTTGTGCAATTTTCTGCAGATTTTCCAATTGATGCTCTCATGCGATACTTTAGCGAGGGAGTTTTCGAAGCTTTTTCCGGCCACTTTTGCTCGCTTTCTCACCCACTCCTTCCGCCCTTTTGCCATCATTTCTCATATCTCTGGTGGTTGTTCTGCCACCATCTCGAGAATATTGACGGCATCGCAGAAGGTGTGAGAAGATGAAATGTATTCATTTGGAATGCGAGACATGAATTTTCTCCTGGCGCTATTGAAAAATGATTTCGGTTTCACATGTCATCCCGTTGGCCCCACACTCCCCTTCATTCGCATGCTCTGCGACACTCGATGGCGTTCGTTGATGGTTTGAGCGGTGGAGTTCAATTTACGTCGAAATCGCTCGGCGGAGCTTAAAAAAGGTGATCGAGATGGGAGAATGAAAATGTTCCCCTTATCGGCCTCGCGCTTTTTTCGCGATGTTGATCAGTCAAGGAGGTTGGGAAAAAGTCTTCCCATAAAGCAGAAAAAAATGCGTCTGACAGGAAAATTCCACCCAATGGTAAAGCGAAAGTTTTTCCATATGTTTCGTGCGGTGTAAAAATACGCAGAAAAGACGAGATGTGATGCAAAATCAACCTTCCGCTGAGGAGAAGAAGTCAATATAAGTTTGCAAGTCACACATTCTGTCGCTTTCAATTCTAATTTCCCCATCGCCGTGCGAGTACAGAAGATATTCTTTAAAATGTCTCCTCTTTCGTTTGAAGGCAAAGTGTGAGCTTATATCTCTATCTATATGTAGATATTCACAGCTTGACAATATGACAAGGACGTGCCAATGAGGACTTTCTCAGGGAAACACGTCCATTGATATAACAATGAAATGTTTCTATACGATCTGCTCGCAGTCAAATGTTGCGCCATGAAGAGAAGCACTTGAGAATGTCTTCACTTTTAGAAGGGTTGAAAATTTACTTATTATAATTGCTGACTTCAGCAATTTTAGAAAGGCATGTTAATCAGAGTGTTCTTATAATATTTTTCCAGACATCGATTGTTATTTTACGCTTTTATTTATTGTTTTCTTTTAAGTCCTCTAAATTTTCGTAACGTTTTCAAGAAAAACACTAAATTTAAGGCACATATGTATTACAAACCTCTACGCTAATTGCAGACAATAGAATGGAAAAAATCTTTTAACATCTTCTGATGAATTCGAAGATTATCTACTCTTAGATTTTCAATATTTTTAGATTTACTTTCAGATTTAGACGTGCGTAGGTTATGTTTCAAATCCGAGCAACAAATTGAATGAACAAAACTCAGAGAATACACGATCATTTTATACTTGAATGGTTTGCGGGATAAAACATATCTTCAGATTGATTAATTCAGTGTCATTTACTCCCTATGTTAGTCGAATGCCAAGTTATTATTGAATGTTCTCATCAAATTGCATCAGAAGGATTTAACAAATTTTTCACCATTACTCTTCCATTGACATGCGTCATCCCTTCTGAATTGCCGCCCTTTAGGAAAAAAATGAATAATGTATGCAATTTTTCCGCTCAAACTTTTTCCTATGACTACGTATTTGGTGTTCTCTCGTCCTGAAGTGGCTTCACTCTCGAATCCATTCCAATAGGCAGTGAATTTACGCATATTCCACTTGAACACTCACAAATTCACAAAAGGCGCATTGAAATTCAATTCTAACATATTCAAAGTCCAATTTCCACTGGCTTCAATAGCGCCATGGAAAAGAATTGCTTGTGGAGAGGAGAAGAAAAAAACTTTCGCCAAAATGCGAGACTCGTTTTTCTTTCACATGTGTGCGCGGAGAGACGCAGAAGAGATCCCCCACCGACCGCTGGAAAAAAAGAAAAACACGAGATGACACTATGTGAAATTCTACCCTCCATTTTTTACTATACCAACCCTGAAAATTCGCATTCCTGCCAAAGTTTCGAATGTCTTTCGTGTGCGAGAAGAGGCAGAAAAAGTCGATTTGACGGAGGGGATTTTGACGGGGTGTGAGGGATGATTGAAGGTGCGAGAAAAAATTGCATGAAATTTTTTACATTCGCATTTTTCATGGGAAAATAATGTGTATGTGTGTAAAATAATATTCCAATAATGGCAGTAAGATGAAAAGCGCTTGAGAGAAGAGAGACTGTGTGTCGAATGAGAAAATTCAATATTCCTCCATTATATAGAGATTCATTCTGGAGACACACAAGTTAATAAATGTTGAAGTGTCTCAAATGCCGAAGAAGACCATCAATTAAATTTTATCATGACAAAGTGACAGGCCAATTATGGAGGAGAAAGGAGAGAGTAAATTTCATCGTGGCAAATTCGGCGAAAGAAAATGATTCCCTCCTTGCGCGCGTATCATTTTTCACGCGAGCAGAATTTAACTCACGGTGTTCTTTTTTTTTTTAAGAGAAAGCGAACTTGGATCGATGATACCTAAATAATCATAGCGATGGAGTCAGAAAATTGGGGAAATCAATTTAATATGTCACCATAACTCACCTCCACTCTTTGTGAAAATAATCACTCAATAGTCAATTTTGTGACGCTCCATTTGCACTCTTGCTTTTCTAGTAGCTTTCATCTCTGAAATGATTGTAGAATAGTGGAAAATTAATGATAAATCGAGATTATTACATCTAAATTGGTTGAGGCAAAGTATACATTATTTAAATTTGACCAGAAAGTTTCGAAGTGAAAGGAAAGTCTTCCAGTGAATCTTTAAAAGCCACTGCTTGTTTATTCATGTACATAGCTCGACTCTTTGAGGTTTAGAAGGATGGGAACAAAATCAAAATAACACTGTTTTAGACAGTCTGTCGAGGCTTTTAAGAAGCCTTGGTTCATGCACTCAGTATAAAGACTTTCAACGTCGCCTCTGGATGTGAAAGTCTCAGAACAATCCCCGAGGTAAACCACAAAATAAATTCCTTCTAAGAACAAACTCTCCTACTCTTCAACCTAGAGAGAAAATCTATGTCTCTAAAATTGGCATTTCCATATTCCCGTGATTGACAGGCAATCAAATTGGTTTATAAGTTTATACAATATGGAATGTGATGCATATAAGTTTAAAATTAAACAATGAGGAATGTGTATCTGAAATGATTGCAAATATGGCGACATATGTATGCATCGAAATTCGTAATTCCCAGAATCCAATTTCATATATCAAGCGCATGTAGGAAGAAAATTGGCACTCAACATGCAATATTCCGTCAGAAGTATGATAACGTGAGGCTGCAATAAAGGTATTCAATGAAGAGACTAGATAATAGGGAAGATAACAGACAATCATATTGTCCATCTTAGACCGCACTTATAACATTCAGAGATGGAACAACATATGTCTTCATATAACTCATAAGTTATTACTGAACACTGATACAAGGCGATGGGAGGCTTTTTTCCATTAATTTCACATACACTCGTGCTCAAAGTGTATTTTGGATGGTGGAAAAATGTGTGAAAATGTCAGATTAAAATTTCTAGAAATTTCACGGGAAAGATAAAAATATCAACGAAACAGTTCAGTATGAGAGCATGTTCTTCTAGTTGCTTATATTTTTGCTAGAAAAATGAACATACAGATCAGAGTCCATTTTTGACATAAAAAAGGGAAAAATATTCAAAATGTGAAGATTTTTTAAATCATGCAAATATTGCAATCTTTGTAATATTTATTCCTTAAGAAGATTATAGTAATTCCCAATACGAGAGCTTTATTATGGAAGGAAAGATAGAGATCGTCAATGCGTAGTTTGTGATGACAATATTCTCTCTTTGATTTTCATCAGAATGGAAATATATTGCATATTCTGCAAGTGTACTTGAAAGATTGTCAATAATTTACTGGAACTCGGATCTTCTTAAGCACATACATAACCTTGTACGTAACTAACCCGTAAAGTTTCTGTCAACAGTACTTTGATTTCAAAAGCTTTCATCATAGAATTGGCATCTTCCATGATTTGACACACTTACAGAATGATTAATATCATTACTATATGTAATAACATTATATGTTTCAAAACAAAGCCATTAAATGTGTAACAATGCACATGTGGACAATTTTTGCGCGTGACTGTGTAAGAACAAAGGACGCAACATTAGAAATTGTTCAGCCAGTAAGCCTCTAACAAGCACATGACACATATGTGAAATATATCAAATTCCTGCCTCCTAGAAGCTTTCCCTGCCATATATTGAATATGACTGTGTGTGGAGCTTTGTCAGCTCTGCGGCCTGCAACCCATCACCATTCCAGCCATGAGTCCATAGAAAACGCCAGGCGACACACAACTAATACTTGGTGAAAATCTCTGATGTGGTTTATGTGATATAGAAAAGGAAAATAACACCGAAGAAAATTTTCTTCACGGAAAATTGCCAGCAATATTTGTCGGGGCCACAGAACTTGTGTTGTGTAAACAGGCCAAACATTAACTTTTCCATTGGCACGAGTCGTGCAGAAATTGAGGAAGCATTAGTACCGGATATGGTCATTGGTTGAAACATGGAAAGTCATCATTGATGATCATGTTGGGCATATTTTCCTCAGCTCTGTAACGACATCTGAGGTCACGCGATGTATTTATTGGCCAATTAAATTATCTCTGTATCGCACTTCTTCCCCCACATCGGATTTTCCCCAATGCCATGATGTGACGACAGGGGGAAACTTCTTCAACAGCCACCAACTCATGCCATCAAGTAGACAGAGGCAATTTTTCTCTCAGCGCCGAGCAATTCATATGTGGGGACTTTTGGAGTGTTCTCTCCTACTTGAGTTTGTCGTCAATTGGATTTGCGGAGAAGTGGAGGACATTGACGTTGCTAGTTTAGTCATCTCACCTCATTATTACTCAGAGAATATTCTTTGCAGACCACGCTTTAGTGCAGTCTTCCTTTTCTTTTATGTCTTATGAATTTATTGGGCTTCTTTTGTAAACAGGGAAACCTTACTAAAGAAATGTTACCAAATCATCAAGTTTATTGATTTGGTCCTTCAGACATTAATTATAGTTACCATAAAAGCTCAAGTTGAGGCTTTTCTGTACAAGAAAAAGTAACGCATTGGAAATCCTCGGCGAAAATGGTTAGCAAATATACTTGCGTTTGCAGAAGAAAATGTCATTTAATAAATACATATTTACTTTTACTACCCACGTCTAGCTCACTTTCGCCCTCACTTGCGTTGAAGCGCCTTCGCTACTTTTACTCTCGTCCTTGTTGTAGATTACTCCAATTGAGCGATGATAAGAACGGAAGCAAAATTTGCTAGAATCGTAAAAGCTCAACTATGCTGAAAACGAATAACAAAACGATGTTTTCTTTGTAGATTTCTCAACTTCAATTCGCCTTTTTTAACACACAATCATAACGCACTCTGTGCCTTTTTTTCGTTCCGGCGAAATACGAGCAAATTTCGAAGGGCGCCCCAGAGATGAGGGTTTCTGTGAGGCCAAGTCTCGCCTTTCAATACCATTCTCGACATGAAAAGGGTTCCCCGTCGGTTTCAAGTTCAAATAGAAACTTTTATGAGCTTATATTGCATTAGAAATTCACACATGCTGTGAGACGTTCAAAAGCACGCAGTCGGGTTTAACCATTGAGAGAGGAATTTGTACGATATTGTTGGAAACATGGACAAAGAAATCAATTCCGCACTAAACATGTTAGGAGGAATAAAATTCCAGCTCTCACTCTCTCATTTGACTTTCGTCTTGGGGTGCCTTTCTAAAAGGGAAAACTTTAAGGATTGCAAAAGCTACATAAAAAGCACACAGTTTTGTCTCCTTTCTTTAGGCGGGAAATTGAAATAAAAATGAGGAGCAAAATTGATCTTTCTCCGTTCCTTTGGCTGTGCTTCACTCCTCCTGAGAGACCAAAAGGATCATCATGATGACGCTGTAAAGGACAACCCCAATAATCACGGCAATAGTTGGAAGTTAAAGTTGGGCGAAACGAGGAGGATTCTGGTGTGATTTTCACAATGAATTCACACAATGATTATTGCCAAGGGGAGAGAATCTGCCATCCCTTTTTTCGCTCTCCTTTACTCCTTTTTCTTCTATTCCTCAGATTTTCCCATCGTCATCCACCCCAAAACCCACTGGAGAGAGAGATGGCGAGATAGATAAAGAGAGAGAGAGCGAAAGCAAGGAAAACAGTCACAGTGGAATAAGAGTGGATTAGGTCGGTCGCAAAAAAGAAGCTGAAGGAGTGGTGCATTGAAATGCGATGAAATGGAAAATCGACAATAAATTCCCGACTAATTTCCATGAAAGCTTGGAATACTCGACCCCAATAACCGGCTTAATACGATTGAGAAAAGTGAATTTGGTGTGAAAGAAACCACCCTCGGCAATTCCATATCAAAACACACCCCTTTCGACTGTGAAAAATATTCTCACACCGCCAATTTAGTATTATTTTCCCTATAGTTCAGCTAAAGCTATTGTCTGGCTTTTGAGGGAGTTGCAAAGGTGCACGAGAAGCCTTTAATCTGCTTAATACGTGAAATTTCACTGTATGAGAAAACTGTTTGCCACCCACAATTTTCTCAATTGACGGGTATGTTTTTAGCCTTATTAAAATTCGTCGCCTTTTTCCGCGCAATGTTACGCCACGAAAAGACGGGGAATGTATTGTTTGTCGCCATGTCTAACAATTTTTGAATTCTAGGAAAATAAGAAAAAGTCAATACTTATTTTGCAGTAGAAAAACTTTGTCGTTTCAATGAATGAAACATGCAAAAGTTTCAAACTATTTTTCTTTTAGTTTGACGTAATCTTATATCTTATTGATGATTAATTTCCTTCATTTTCAATTTTATTTAATTGCGACATATTGTCGCAAAAGCTGCAGTAACTTTTCTGATCCTATAGAATATAAGTAGAATGTGTATAATGGGTGAGAACATCTTTCTGATTTAGTTGAGGTTACGATTGGTAAGGATACGAAAAGACGTTAAGATTCGGATTTTCGATCAGTTGTATCTTGTCTCTATCATTTGATGCAAGCTTTGCTCTTAGTCTTATTATAAATGCAGAAATAGTCGAAGTCAGACAGCATTGAAACCAGAAAAATTAGCCAAATACAATTGGGTTGCGTGCGTATTTGATGATATTTCGTGATTAGACAAATTAGGTTTGTCCCCCATGTCATCAGTCTGCGAGTTTATATTGTGTGTGTGTGGTGAAGAAAAATCACCCCCCATGCGACGATGAAGAGAGGCAAAAGACAAACAATTGGGGGTGGAGAGATGCAAAAGATAGAGTGCTTTGTCTGATAAATGCACACTGGGGAGCATTACAAGCAAACCCCCCGCACTTGGTTGTATTTAGACGATTCACAAGTAAAATGAGATGAGAAACACAATTTCACCATTTTTGCAATGAATAAATATTTTCTCACGGAGAGAAAGAGAAAGAGTGGTGGAATTTTTTTGTGCTTCCCAATTCATGGCATTTTTAAGAGAACGAGAGTGGCCTGGCAAAAAAGAGAGGGCTCGAAGGAGAAAAGTCTCCAGGGTATGAGAGCAACTGTGGATGTTTTCATATTATTTGAGGACATTCTGGTAC